TCCTTATTTGCATACGGGGATTCGCCACCGGCCCCTCCCCTTCCCCTCTTACGGGCGTCGCTGCGCAACGAGGGGGGGTATTTGCATACGGGGCTCCGCCCACTACAATGGCGGGGTCATTTACATATTGGGCTCCGCCCACTGATGCCCCGGGAAGGGGGGGGGGGGCTCGGAGTGGTGGGTTCTATTAGGGGGGTATGGGGGGGATATGGGGGTTATGGGGGGGATATAGGGGGGATATGGGGGTATATAGGGGGGGATATGGGGTGGTATTGGGGGGATATGGGGAATATAGGGGGTATAGGGGGAATATGGGGGGATATAGGGGGGATATGGGGAGATATAGGAGGGATATGGGGTGGTATGGGGGGATATGGGGACTATAGGGGGAATATAGGGGATATAAGGGGCATATAGGGGAGATATGGGGGATATATGGGGGATATGGGGGGATATAGGGGGAATATAATGGGGATATAGGGGGTATTGGAGGATATAGGGGGGATATAGAGGGGATATGGGGTGGTATGGGGATATGCGGGGACATAGGGGGGATATAGGGGGGATATGGCATTTTGTGGGGGGGATATGGGGAATATAGGGGGTATAAGGGGGATATAGGGGAGATATGGGGGGATATGGGGGGATATTGGGGAGATATGGGGAATATAGGGGATATAGGGGGGATACGGGGGTCTATAGTGGGGATATAGGGGAGATGAGGGGGATATGGGAGGATATAGGGGGAGATAGGGGAGGATATGGGGGGATGTAGGGAGGATATAGGGGCATATGGGGGGATATGGGAGAAAATAGGGGGGGATATAGGGGGGATATAGGGGGATATGGGGGGATATAGGGGGATATAATCAATATAGGGGTATAGACTCATAGAACCACAGAATCGTTAGGGTTGAAAGGACCTTAAGCTCACCCATTTCCATCCCCCTGCCATGGGCAGGGACACCTCACCCTAAACCAGGGCACCCAAGCCCTCCTCCAACCTGGTCTTGAACACTGCCAGGGATGGAGCATTCACAACCTCCCTGGACAACCCATTCCAGTGCCTCACCACCCTCACAGGAAAGAATTTCCTCCTTAGATCCAATCTAAACTTCCCCTGTTTAAGTTTTAACCCGTTACCCCTTGTCCTGTCACTGCAGTCCCTACTGAAGAGTCCCTCCCCAGCATCCCTATAGGCCCCCTTCGGACACAGGAAGCTGCTATGGGGTCTCCACGCAGCCTTCTCTTCTCAGCCTGGCTTCACACTGGAGGTGCTCCAGTCCCTGAGCATCCTCGTGGCCTCCTCCGGACTTGTTCCAGCAGTTCCATGGCCTTTGTAGGCTGAGGGCGCCACAACCGCACACAGTGCTGCCAGTGAGGAGGACCCGTACCCCAAACCCGATTCCCACACAACTACCCCCTACCACATACGCCAAACCCTATGTCCTATGTCCCATTCACAATACACCATATTCCCATATCCCATATACCCATACCACATACCCCATATCCCATATCCCATACCCAATACCCCATACCCCTTATCTCCGTATCCCATACCCCATATCCCACACCCCATACCCCATATCACATACCCCATTCACCATACCCCATCCCCCTTATCTCCATATCCCATACCCCATACACCATACCCCTTGTCTCCATATCCCATACCCCATACCCCTTATCTCCATACCCATACCCCGTACCCCTTATCTCTATATCCCATACCCCACACCCCATACCCCATATCCCATACCCCATACCCCACACCCCATACCTCATATCCCATACCCCATACCCCATATCCCATACCCTGTATCCCATACCCCATACCCCATACCCCACACCCCATACCCCATCTCTCATATCCCATACCCCATGCCCCATACCCCACGCCCCATACCCCATCTCCCATATCCCATACCCCATACCCCATACCCCACACCCCATACCCCATCTCTCATATCCCATACCCCATACCCCATACCCCACACCCCATACCCCATCTCCCATATCCCATACCCCATACCCCATACCCCATATCCCATACCCCACACCCCATACCCCATATCCCATACCCCATACCCCATACCCCATACCTCATATCCCATACCCCATATCCCATACCCCGTATCCCATACCCCATACCCCATACCTCACACCCCATACCCCATCTCCCATATCCCATACCCCATACCCCATCTCCCATTCCCCGTTTCCCTTCCCTTGCCCATTCCCACCCATTTACAACCCAAAGGCATTTGGGGTGCGGACCAGGAAGTGGCTCCCACTTATGTCACTGCTTGCATCATCACCGGCATCCCCACCCGGGACAAAGTCCCTGCTCCTGCCCCTTGTCCCGTCGGCTCACAGCTGCTCCGGCTCCGCAGGGATGGGACGCGCCATGGGCCTCATCCTCGTCCTGGTGCTGGCAGGTGGGATCGGGAATACCATGGGGTGGGTGGGTGGAGGAGGACGTGGGTGGGTGGAGGAGGTGGGTGAGTGGAGGAGGTGGATGGAGGTGGTGGGTGGATGGAGGTGGTGGGTGGGTGGAGGTGGATGGATGGAGGTGGATGGATGGAGGTGGTTGGATGGAGGAGGTGGTTGGATGGAGGTGGTTGGATGGAGGTGGTGGGTGGATGGAGGTGGTGGGTGGATGGAGGTGGTTGGATGGAGGAGGTGGTTGGATGGAGGAGGTGGGTGGATGGAGAAGGTGGTTGGATGGAAGAGGTGGGTGGATGGAAGAGGTGGTTGGATGGAGGTGGTTGGATGGAGGAGGTGGTTGAATGGAGGAGGTGGAAGGCGAAGGTTGATGGATGGAGAAGGTGGTTGGGTGGAGGAGGTGGATGGATGGAGGAGGTGGATGGAGGAGGTGGATGGATGGAGGTGATGGATGGAGAAGGTGGTTGGATGGAGGAGGTGGTTGGGTGGAGGAGGTGGATGGATGGAGGAGGTGGATGGAGGAGGTGGATGGATGGAGGTGATGGATGGAGAAGGTGGTTGGGTGGAGGAGGTGGTTGGGTGGAGGAGGTGGATGGATGGAGGAGGTGGATGGATGGAGGAGGTGGATGGATGGAGGTGATGGATGGAGAAGGTGGTTGGGTGGAGGAGGTGGTTGGGTGGAGAACTGGTTGGATGGAGAGGTGGGTGGATGGAGAAGGCAGATGGATGGAGAAGGTGGATGGATTGAGAAGGTGGATGGATTGAGACGGTAGATGGATGGAGGTGGATGGATAGAGGAGGTGGATGTATGGAGGAGCTGGATGGAGAAGGTGGATGGAGGAGGTGGATGGATGGAGGAGGTGGATGGATGGAGGAGGTGGATGGAGGAGGTGGATGGAGGAGGTGGATGGATGGAGGAGCTGGATGGAGAAGGTGGATGGAGAAGGTGGATGGATGGAGAAGGTGGATGGATGGAGGAGCTGGATGGAGAAGGTGGATGGAGGAGGTGGGTGGAGGAGGTGGATGGATGGAGGAGGTGGATGGATGGAGAAGGTGGGTGGAGGAGGTGGCTGGATGGAGGAGGTGGATGGAGAAGGTGGATGGAGAAGGTGGATGAATGGTGAAGGTGGTTGGATGGAGAAGTGGCTGGATGGAGGAGGTGGATGGAGAAGGTGGATGGAGAAGGTGGATGAATGGTGAAGGTGGTTGGATGGAGAAGTGGCTGGATGGAGGCAGTGGATGGAGAAGGTGGATGGAGAAGGTAGATGAATGGTGAAGGTGGTTGGATGGAGAAGTGGCTGGATGGAGGAGGTGGATGGAGAAGGCAGATGGATGGAGAAGTGGTTGGATAGAGATAGTCAATGGATGGAGGTGGATGGATGAAGGAGCTGGATGGAGGGAGGAGGTGGATGGATGGAGAAGTGGTTGGATGGAGAAGGTGGATGGAGAAGGTGGATGGATTGAGAAGGTGGATGGATTGAGACGGTCGATGGATGGAGGTGGGTGGATGGAGGAGGTGGATGGATGGAGAAGTGGTTGGATGGAGAAGGTGGATGGAGGGAGTAGCTGGATGGAGGGAGGAGGTGAATGAATGGAGGAGGTGGATGGATGGAGAAATGGTGGAGAAAGTGGATGGATGGAGGAGGTGGATGGATGGAGAAGGTGGATGGATGGAGGGGGTGGATGGATGGGGAAGTGGTTCAGTGGAGGAGGTGGGTGGATGGAGGAGGTGGGTGAATGGAGGGGGTGGTTGCAGGAGGTTTTGGGGCATCTCCTCATGTCTGAACCCCAACAGGAGCTGCCTGTGGTGAGAATATGAACGTGAACCACACGGATGGGCCAGAGACCACGGTCACATCCGGGACCAGTGCACAAAATGGCTCCATGGGGACCCCCATCACTGGAGCCACCCCCATCACCTCCACCCCTGCTGAGATGACCTCGAACCTTGATCCAAACACCACAAGAAAGCCTTCTTCTTCCTTCTCCACCCATGGACTCGCCTCCACTGCCCTTATCGCACCTGAGGTCACCTCCATGACAGCCGCAACCACGTCAGGAGGTGCCTCCAGTTCCTTCTCCACCCATGGAGCCAACTCCTCTGCTGCCACCTCCGCACTGGGGGGCTCCATGAACTCCCCAAAACCATCTCTTGACACCTCCAAAACCTTCCCCGCCTCTGGAGACACCTCCAGTACTGCCACCACCAAGGGAGTGACCTCAACCAATGCCCCAACCTCAACAGGAGAGCCTCCAACCTCCTCTTCCACCTCTGGAGCCACCTCCCGTGCCGTCACCACCAATGGGGTGACCTCCACCAATGCTTCAACCACCTCTGTTGTTACCACTACCATATCCTTGACCACTGGAGCCACTTCCTCTGCTGCCAGCTCCAATAGGATGACCTCACCCGATGCTGCAACCACGTCAGCAGAGGCTTCCACCTCCTTCACCACCTCTGGAGCCATCTCCACTGTTCCCACCTCCACAGCAGTGACCACCATGAGTGCCACAACCACCTCCATTAATGCCTCCACATCATTCTCCACCTCTGGAGCCACCTCCAGTGCTGCGACCACCAATGAGGTGACCTCAACCAATGCCCCAAACTCAACAGCAGAGCCTCCAACCTCCTTCTCCACCTCTGGAACATCTTACACCGCTGTCACCTTCACTGAGGTGACGCCAATGTCATCCACAGCCACCTCAATGGACACCTCCACGCTCTCCTTCACCTCTGAAGTCACCTCAACTGATCCCATCTCTACAGGGGTGACCTCCACAACAGCTCCAACCACCTCTGTTGATGCCACCAAGAGCTTCTCAACCACTGGTGCCACCTCCTCTGCTGTCACCACCAATGAGTTGACCTCCACCAGTGCCCCAACCACCTCTATTGATGCATCCACCTCATTCACCACCATTGGAGCCACCTCCTCTGGTGTCACTTCCATAGAGGAGACCTCCATGACAGCCACAACCACTCCAACAGAGCCTGCTACCTCCTTCTCCACCTCTGGATCCTACTCCTCTGCTGTTACCTCCACACTTGGGACCTCCACAGCAGCTCCAACCACCTCTATTGATGCCTCCAGCACCTTCTCCACCTCTGGAGCCACCTCCTCTGCTGCCACGTCCACTGATGTGACTTATACAACAGTTCCAACCATGTCAGAAGCTGCCTCCACGATGTTCTTGACCACTGGGGCCACCTCAACTGCTCCCATGTCCACACAGCTGACCTCCACACCATCCCCAACCACCTCTGTTGAAGCCTCCACATCATTCACCACCAATGGAGCCGCCTCCTCTGCTGCCACCTCCAATGTGATGACCTCTACCAATGCCCCAACCTCCACAGCAGAGCCTCAAACCTCCTTCTCCACCTCTGGAACCTCTTCCACTGCTGCCACCATCACTGAGGTGACTCTGATGTCAACCACAGCCACCTCAATGGACACCTCCACTCTCTCCTTCACCTCTGAAGTCACCTTCAGTGCTCCCATGTCCACAGGGGTGCCCTCCACAACAGCTCCAACCACCTCTGTTGATTCCTCCACATCATTCAGCACTACTGGAGCCCCCCCCTCTGCTGTCACCACCAATGAGTTGACCTCCACCAGTGCCCCAACCACCTCTATTGATGCATCCACCTCATTCACCACCAATGGAGCCACCTCCACGGCTGTCACTTCCATAGAGGAGAACTCCATGACATCCACAACCACTCCAACAGAGCCTCCTACCTCCTTCTCCACCCCTGGAGCCACCTCCTCTGCTGCCACCTTGACTGAAGTGTCCTCCACAACAGCCCAAACCACTTCTATTGATGCCTCCAGCACCTTCTCCACCTCTGGAGCCACCTCCTCTGCTGCCACCTCCACTGCTGTGACCTCTACAACAGCTCCAACCATGTCAGAAGCTGCCTCCACGATGTTCTTGACCACTGGATCCACCTCAACTACTCCCATGTCCGTATTGGTGACCTCCACAACAGCCACAGACATCTCTGCTGATGCCTCCACATCATTCACCACCAATGGAGCCACCTCCTCTGCTGCCACCTCCATTGAGATGACCTCAACCAATGCCCCAACCTCCACAGCAGAGCCTCCAACCTCCTTCTCCACCTCTGGAACCTCTTCCACTGCTCTCACCTTCACTGAGGTGACCCCGATGTCAACCACAGCCACCTCAATGGACACCTCCACGCTCTCCTTCACCTCTGAAGTCACCTCCAGTGCCCCCATGTCCACAGGGGTGCCCTCCACAACAGCTCCAACCGCCTCTGTTGATGCCACCATGAGCTTCTCAACCACTGGTGCCACCTCCTCAGGTGTCACTTCCATAGAGGAGTCCTCCATGACAGCCACAACCACTCCAACAGAGTCTTCTCCCTCCTTCTCCACCTCAGGATCCTACTCCTCTGCTGTTACCTCCACACTTGGGACCTCCACAGCAGCTCCAACCACCTCTATTGATGCCTCCAGCACCTTCTCCACCTCTGGAGCCACCTCCTCTGCTGCCACGTCCACTGATGTGACTTATACAACAGTTCCAACCATGTCAGAAGCTGCCTCCACGATGTTCTTGACCACTGGGGCCACCTCAAATGCTCCCATGTCCACACAGCTGACCTCCACACCATCCCCAACCACCTCTGTTGATGCCTCCACATCATTCACCACCAATGGAGCCGCCTCCTCTGCTGCCACCTCCAATGTGATGACCTCTACCAATGCCCCAACCTCCACAGCAGAGCCTCCAACCTCCTTTTCCACCTCTGGAACCTCTTCCACTGCTGCCACCTTCACTGAGGTGACCCCGATGTCAACCACAGCCACCTCAATGGACACCTCCACGCTCTCCTTCACCTCTGAAGTCACCTTCAGTGCTCCCATGTCCACAGGGGTGCCCTCCACAACAGCTCCAACCACCTCTGTTGATTCCTCCACATCATTCAGCACTACTGGAGCCCCCCCCTCTGCTGTCACCACCAATGAGTTGACCTCCACCAGTGCCCCAACCACCTCTATTGATGCATCCACCTCATTCACCACCATTGGAGCCACCTCCACGGCTGTCACTTCCATAGATGAGACCTCCGTGACAGCCACAACCACTCCAACAGAGCGTCCAACCTCCTTCTCCACCCCTGGAGCCACCTCCTCTGCCGCCACCTTGACTGAAGTGTCCTCCACAACAGCCCAAACCACCTCTATTGATGCCTCCAGCACCTTCTCCACCTCTGGAGCCACCTCCTCTGCTGCCGCCTCCACTGCTGTGACCTCTACAACAGCTCCAACCATGTCAGAAGCTGCCTCCACGATGTTCTCCACCACTGGAGCCACCTCAACTGTTCCCATGTCCACAATGGTGACCTCCACAACAGCCACAGCCACCTCTGTTGATGTCTCCACGTCATTCTCAACATCTGGAGCCACCTCCTCTGCTGCCACCACCAATGAGATGACCTCAACCAATGCCCCAACCTCCACAGCAGAGCCTCCAACCTCCTTCTCCACCTCTGGAACCTCTTCAACTGCTGTCACCTTCACTGAGGTGACCCCGATGTCTTCCACAGCCACCTCAATGGACACCTCCACACTCCCCTCAACCACTGGAGCCACCTCCATTTCTCCCATGTCCACAGGGGTGACCTCCACAGCAGCCCCAACCACCTCTGTTGATGCCTCCAGCACCTTCTCCACCTCTGGAGCCACCTCCTCTGCTGTCACCTCCAATGTGATCACCTCCATCAGTGCCACAATCACCCCAACAGAGCCTCCAGCCTCCTACTACACCTCTGGAGCCACCTCCTCTGCTGCCACCTCAACTGAAGTGACCTCCACAACAGCCCAAACAATGTCTATTGATGCCTCCAGCACCTTCTCCACCTCTGGAGCCATCTCCACTGCTGCCACGTCCACTGATGTGACCTATACAACAGTTCCAACCATGTCAGAAGCTGCCTCCACGATGTTCTTGACCACTGGGGCCATCACAACTGCTCCCATGTCCACATTGGTGACATCCACAACAGCTCCAACCACCTCTGTTGATGCCTCCACGTCAGTCATCACCAATGGAGCCATCTCCTCTGCTGTCACCAATGGGATGACCTCAACCAATGCCCCAACCTCAACAGCAGAGCCTCCAACCTCCTTCTCCACGTCTGGAACCTCTTCCACTGCTGTCACCTTCACTGAGGTGACCCCGATGTCAACCACAGCCACCTCAATGGACACCTCCACGCTCTCCTTCGCCTCTGAAGCTACTTCCTCTGCTGTCACCACCAATGAGGTGACCTCAGCCAATGTCACAACCACTTCCATTGATGCCTCCACATCATTCTCCACCTCTGGAGCCACCTCCAGTGCTACCACCACTAATGAGGTGATCTCAAGCAATGCCCCAACCTCAGCAGCAGAGCCTCCAGCCTCTTTCTCCACCTCTGGAACCTCTTCCACTGCAGTCACCTTCACTGAGGTGACCCCGATGTCATCCACATCCACCTCAATGGACACCTCCACGCTCTCCTTCACATCTGAAGACACCTCCAGTGCTGCCATGTCCACAGGGGTGACCTCCACAACAGCTCCAACCGCCCCTGTTGATGCCACCACGAGCTTCTCAACCACTGGAGCCACCTCCTCTGCTGTCACCACCAATGAGTTGACCTCCACCAGTGCCCCAACCACCTCTACTGGTGCATCCATCTCACTGACCACCATTGGAGCCACCTCCACGGCTGTCACTTCCACAGATGAGACCTCCATGACAGCCACAACCACTCCCACAGAGTCTTTTCCCTCCTACTCCACCTCTGGATCCTACTCCTCTGCTGTCACCTTCACTCTGCAGACCTCCACAGAAGCTCCAACCACCTCTATTGATGCCTCCAGCACCTTCTCCACCTCTGGAGCTACCTCCACTGCTGTCACCTCCACTGTGGTCACCTCCATCAGTGCCACAACCACCCCAACAGAGCTTCCAGCTTCCTTCTCCACCTCTCGAGACACCTCCTCTGCTTCCGCCTCCACAGGAGTGACCTCCACAACAGCCACAACCATCACTCTTGATGCCTCCAGCAACTTCCCCACCACTGCAGCCACCTCCTCTGCTCCCAGCTCTACTAAGGTGACCTCCATGTCAGCTCCAACCACGTCAGAAGCTGCCTCCCTGATCTTCTCCACCACTGGAGCCACCTCAACTGCTCCTATGTCCACAGAGGGGACCTCTACAGCAGCCCCAACCACCTCCACTGATAATGCCACGTCCCTGACCAGCACTGGAGCCACCTCCTCTGCTCCCAGCTCAACAGGGGTGACCTCCACCAATACACCAACCTCAACAGCAGAGCCTCCAACCACGTTGTCCACCTCTGGAACGTTGTCCACTGCTGTCACCTTCATTGAGGTGACCTCCACAACAGCCCCAACCACCTCTATTGATGCTTCCACGAGCTCCTCAACCACTGGAGCCTCCTCCTCTGCTGTCACCACCAATGAGGTGATCCCAATGTCTTCCACAGCCACTCCAATGTACACCTCCACACTCTTCTCCACCCCTAGAGACACTTCCTCTGCTGTCACCTCCAATGTGGTCACCTCCATCAGTGTCACAACCACCTCAACAGAGCCTCCAGCCTCCTCCACCTCTGGTGCACCCTCCTCTGCTCCCTCCATCACTGAGGGCATCTTCACCCCAGCAACAACCACCTCCACTGGAGCCATCTCAACTGAGGTGACCTCAACCAGTGCCACAACCACCTCTGCTGCCTCCACGATGTTCTTGACCACTGCAGCCACCTCAAGTGCTCCCATGTCCACAGGGGTGACCTCCACAACAGCCCCAACCACCTCTGTTGATGCCACCACGAGCTTCTCCACCTCTGGAGCCACCTCCACTGCTGTCACCACCAATGAGCTGACCTCAAGCAGTGCCCCTACCACCTCTATTGATGCATCCACCTCATTCACCACCTTTGGAACCACCTCCACAGGTGTCTCTTCCATAGAGGAGACCTCCATGACAGCCACAACCCCTCCAACAGAGCCTCCTACCTCCTTATCCAGTTATGGAACAACCTCCTCTGCTGTCACCTCCACATCAGGGACCTCTACAGCATCTCCAAAGCCCTCTATTGATGCCTCCAGCACCTTCTCCACCTCTGGAGCCGCCTCCTCTGCTGTCACCTCCAATGTGGTCACTTTCATCAGTGCCAAAACCACCTCTGTTGATGCCTCCAACTTATTCACCACCATTGGAGCCACCTCCAATGCTGCTACCACCAATGAAGAGTCCTCCACCAATGCTCCAACCACCTCAGCAGAATCCTCTACCTCCATCTCCATCCCTGGAACCTTTTCTGCTGTCACCTCCATCCATTTGACCTCCACGGCATCTCCAACCATCGCTGTTGATGCCTCCAGCACCTTCTCCACGTCTGGAGCCAGCCCCACTGGTCCAACCTTCACTGAGGGGACCCCAACATCTTCCCCTGCCACCGCAGGTGCTTCCACCACCCTCTCCATGACCACTGCAGCCTCTTCCACTGGTGTCGCATCCACTGAGGTCACCTCCGTGAGTGCCACAACCACCCCAGTCGATTTCTCCACCGCCTTCTCCACCACTGGTTCCACCTCCAGCCCTCTCACGTCCACACTGGGGACCTCCACCAATGCCCCAACCTCAACAGCAGAGCCTCCAACCTCCTTCTCCACCTCTGGAACCTCCTCCACTGCTGCCACCTTCAGTGAGGTGACCTCCACAACAGCCCCAACCACCTCTATTGATGCTTCCACGAGCTCCTCCACCACTGGAGCCTCCTCCGCTGCTGTCACCACCAATGAGGTGACCCCAATGTCTTCCACAGCCACTCCAATGGACACCTCCACACTCTTCTCCACCACTGGAGCCACCTCCTCTGCTGCCCCCTCCCATGTGGTCACCTCCATCAGTGCCACAACCATCTCAACAGAGCCTCCAGCCTCCTTCTCCACCTCTGGTGCACCCTCCTCTGCTCCCTCCATCACTGAGGGCATCTTCACCCCAGCCCCAACCACCTCCACTGGAGCCATCTCAACTGAGGTGAGCTCAACCAGTGCCACAACCACCTCTGCTGATGCCTCCACGATGTTCGTGACCACTGCAGCCACCTCAAGTGCTCCCATGTCCACAGGGGTGACCTCCACACCAGCCCCAACCACCTCTGTTGATGCCACCACGAGCTTCTCCACCTCTGGAGCCACCTCCTCTGCTGTCACCACCAATGAGCTGACCTCCACCAGTGCCCCAATCACCTCTATTGATGCATCCACCTCATTCACCACCATTGGAGCCACCTTCACGGCTGTCACTTCCATAGAGGAGACCTCCATGCCAGCGACAACCACTCCAACAGAGCCTCCTACCTCCTTCTCCACTTATGGAACCACCTCCTCTTCTGTCACCTCCACACTGGGGACCTCCACAGCATCTCCAACCACCTCTATTGATGCCTCCAGCACCTTCTCCATCTCTGGAGCCACTTCCTCTGCTGTCACCTCCAATGTGGTCACCTCCATCAGTGACACAACCACCTCTGTTGATGCCTCCACCTCATTCACCACCATTGGAGCCACCTCCAGTGCTGCCACCACCGACAAGGTGACCTCCACCAATGCTCCAACCACCTCAGTAGAGCCTCCTACCTCCATCTCCATCCCTGCAACCTCCTCTGCTGTCACCTCCATCCTTGTGACCTCCACGGCAGCTCCAACCACCACTCTTGATGCCTCCAGCACCTTCTCCACCTCTGGAGCCAGCTCCACTGGTCCAGCCTTCACTGAGGGGATCCCAATGTCTTCCACAGCCACCTCAGGTACTTCCTCCACGCTCTCCTTGACCACTGCATCCTCTTCCACCGGTGTCACATCCACTGAGGTCACCTCCATGAGTGCCACATCCACCCCAGTCGATGTCTCCAGCACCTTCTCCACCACTGGTTCCACCTCCAGCCCTCTCACGTCCACACTGGGGACCTCCACCAATGCCCCAACCTCAACAGCAGAGCCTCCAACCTCCTTCTCCACCTCTGGAACCTCCTCCACTGCTGTCACCTTCACTGAGGTGACCTTCACAACAGCCCCAACCACCTCCATTGATGCTTCCACGAGCCCCTCCACCTCTGGAGCCACCTCCTCTGCTCCCTCCATTACTGAAGGCATCTTCACCCCAGCCCCAACCACCTCCACTGGAGCCACCTCAACTGAGGTGACCTCAACCAGTGCCACAACCACCTCTGCTGATGCCTCCACGATGTTCTTGACCACTGCAGCCACCTCAACTGCTCCCATGTCCACAAGGGTGACCTCCACACCAGCCCCAACCACCTCTGTTGATTCCACCACGAGCTTCTCAACCACTGGAGCCACCTCCTCTGCTGTCACCACCAGTGAGCTGACCTCCACCAGTGCCCCAATCACCTCTATTGATGCATCCACCTCATTCACCACCATTGGAGCCATCTCCACGGCTGTCACTTCCATAGAGGAGACCTCCATGACAGCCACAACCACTCCAACAGAGCCTTCTACCTCCTTCTCCAGTTATGGAACTACCTCCTCTTCTGTCACCTCCACACTGGGGACCTCCACAGCGTCTCCAACCACCTCTGTTGATGCCTCCACCTTATTCACCACCATTGGAACCACCTCCAGTGCTGCTACCTCCAATGAAGTGACCTCCACCAATGCTCCAACCACCTCAGTAGAGCCTCCTACCTCCATCTCCATCACTGGAACCTCCTCTGATGTCACCTCCATCCATGTGACCTCCACGGCAGCTCCAACCACCACTCTTGATGCCTCCAGCACCTTCTCCACCTCTGGAGCCAGCCCCACTGTTCCAGCCTTCACTGAGTGGACCCAAACGTCTTCCACAGCCACCTCAGGTGTTTCCTCCACGATCTCCTCCACCACTGCAGCCTCTTCCACTGGTGTCACATCCACTGAGGTCACCTCCATGAGTGCCACAACCACCCCAGTCGATTTCTCCAGCACCTTCTCCACCACTGGTTCCACCTCCAGCCCTCTCACGTCCACACTGGGGACCTCCACCAATGCCCCAACCTCAACAGCAGAGCCTCCAACCTCCTTCTCCACCTCTGGAACCTCCTCCACTGCTGTCACTTTCACTGAGGTGACCTCCACAACAGCCCCAACCACCTCTATTGATGCTTCCACGAGCTCCTCCACCACTGGAGCCTCCTCCGCTGCTGTCACCACCAATGAGGTGACCCCAATGTCTTCCACAGCCACTCCAATGGACACCTCCACACTCTTCTCCACCACTGGAGCCACCTCCTCTGCTGCCCCCTCCCATGTGGTCACCTCCATCAGTGCCACAACCATCTCAACAGAGCCTCCAGCCTCCTTCTCCACCTCTGGTGCACCCTCCTCTGCTCCCTCCATCACTGAGGGCATCTTCACCCCAGCCCCAACCACCTCCACTGGAGCCATCTCAACTGAGGTGAGCTCAACCAGTGCCACAACCACCTCTGCTGATGCCTCCACGATGTTCGTGACCACTGCAGCCACCTCAAGTGCTCCCATGTCCACAGGGGTGACCTCCACACCAGCCCCAACCACCTCTGTTGATGCCACCACGAGCTTCTCCACCTCTGGAGCCACCTCCTCTGCTGTCACCACCAATGAGCTGACCTCCACCAGTGCCCCAATCACCTCTATTGATGCATCCACCTCATTCACCACCATTGGAGCCACCTTCACGGCTGTCACTTCCATAGAGGAGACCTCCATGCCAGCGACAACCACTCCAACAGAGCCTCCTACCTCCTTCTCCACTTATGGAACCACCTCCTCTTCTGTCACCTCCACACTGGGGACCTCCACAGCATCTCCAACCACCTCTATTGATGCCTCCAGCACCTTCTCCATCTCTGGAGCCACTTCCTCTGCTGTCACCTCCAATGTGGTCACCTCCATCAGTGACACAACCACCTCTGTTGATGCCTCCACCTCATTCACCACCATTGGAGCCACCTCCAGTGCTGCCACCACCGACAAGGTGACCTCCACCAATGCTCCAACCACCTCAGTAGAGCCTCCTACCTCCATCTCCATCCCTGCAACCTCCTCTGCTGTCACCTCCATCCTTGTGACCTCCACGGCAGCTCCAACCACCACTCTTGATGCCTCCAGCACCTTCTCCACCTCTGGAGCCAGCTCCACTGGTCCAGCCTTCACTGAGGGGATCCCAATGTCTTCCACAGCCACCTCAGGTACTTCCTCCACGCTCTCCTTGACCACTGCATCCTCTTCCACCGGTGTCACATCCACTGAGGTCACCTCCATGAGTGCCACATCCACCCCAGTCGATGTCTCCAGCACCTTCTCCACCACTGGTTCCACCTCCAGCCCTCTCACGTCCACACTGGGGACCTCCACCAATGCCCCAACCTCAACAGCAGAGCCTCCAACCTCCTTCTCCACCTCTGGAACCTCCTCCACTGCTGTCACCTTCACTGAGGTGACCTTCACAACAGCCCCAACCACCTCCATTGATGCTTCCACGAGCCCCTCCACCTCTGGAGCCACCTCCTCTGCTCCCTCCATTACTGAAGGCATCTTCACCCCAGCCCCAACCACCTCCACTGGAGCCACCTCAACTGAGGTGACCTCAACCAGTGCCACAACCACCTCTGCTGATGCCTCCACGATGTTCTTGACCACTGCAGCCACCTCAACTGCTCCCATGTCCACAAGGGTGACCTCCACACCAGCCCCAACCACCTCTGTTGATTCCACCACGAGCTTCTCAACCACTGGAGCCACCTCCTCTGCTGTCACCACCAGTGAGCTGACCTCCACCAGTGCCCCAATCACCTCTATTGATGCATCCACCTCATTCACCACCATTGGAGCCATCTCCACGGCTGTCACTTCCATAGAGGAGACCTCCATGACAGCCACAACCACTCCAACAGAGCCTTCTACCTCCTTCTCCAGTTATGGAACTACCTCCTCTTCTGTCACCTCCACACTGGGGACCTCCACAGCGTCTCCAACCACCTCTGTTGATGCCTCCACCTTATTCACCACCATTGGAACCACCTCCAGTGCTGCTACCTCCAATGAAGTGACCTCCACCAATGCTCCAACCACCTCAGTAGAGCCTCCTACCTCCATCTCCATCACTGGAACCTCCTCTGATGTCACCTCCATCCATGTGACCTCCACGGCAGCTCCAACCACCACTCTTGATGCCTCCAGCACCTTCTCCACCTCTGGAGCCAGCCCCACTGTTCCAGCCTTCACTGAGTGGACCCAAACGTCTTCCACAGCCACCTCAGGTGTTTCCTCCACGATCTCCTCCACCACTGCAGCCTCTTCCACTGGTGTCACATCCACTGAGGTCACCTCCATGAGTGCCACAACCACCCCAGTCGATTTCTCCAGCACCTTCTCCACCACTGGTTCCACCTCCAGCCCTCTCACGTCCACACTGGGGACCTCCACCAATGCCCCAACCTCAACAGCAGAGCCTCCAACCTCCTTCTCCACCTCTGGAACCTCCTCCACTGCTGTCACTTTCACTGAGGTGACCTCCACAACAGCCCCAACCACCTCTATTGATGCTTCCACGAGCTCCTCCACCACTGGAGCCTCCTCCGCTGCTGTCACCACCAATGAGGTGACCCCAATGTCTTCCACAGCCACTCCAATGGACACCTCCACACTCTTCTCCACCACTGGAGCCACCTCCTCTGCTGCCCCCTCCCATGTGGTCACCTCCATCAGTGCCACAACCATCTCAACAGAGCCTCCAGCCTCCTTCTCCACCTCTGGTGCCCTTTCCTCTGCTCCCTCCATCACTGAGGGCATCTTCACCCCAGCCCCAACCACCTCCACTGGAGCCATCTCAACTGAGGTGACCTCAACCAGTGCCACAACCACCTCTGCTGATGCCTCCACGATGTTCTTGACCACTGCAGCCACCTCAACTGCTCCCATGTCCACAGGGGTGACCTTCACACCAGCCCCAACCACCTCTGTTGATGCCACCACGAGCTTCTCCACCTCTGGAGCCACCTCCTCTGCTGTCACCACCAATGAGCTGACCTCCACCAGTGCCCCAACCACCTCTATTGATGCATCCACCTCATTCACCACCATCGGTGCCACCTCCTCTGATGTCACTTCCATAGAGGAGACCTCCATGCCAGCCACAAGCACTCCAACAGAGCCTCCGACCTCCTTCTCCAGTTATGGAACCACCTCCTCTTCTGTCACCTCCACACTGGGGACCTCCACAGCGTCTCCAACCACCTCTGTTGATGCCTCCACCTCATTCACCACCATTGGAGCCATCTCCAGTGCTGCCACCACCGATGAGGTGACCTCCACCAATGCTCCAACCACCTCAGTAGAGCCTTTTACCTCCATCTCCATCACTGGAACCTCCTCTGCTGTCACCTCCATCCATGTGACCTCCACGGCAGCTCCAACCACCACTCTTGATGCCTCCAGCACCTTCTCCACCTCTGGAGCCAGCTCCACTGGTCCAACCTTCACTGAGGGGACCCCAATGTCTTCCACAGCCACCTCAGGTGCTTCCTCCACCCTCTCATTGACCACTGCATCCTCTTCCACCGGTGTCACATCCACTGAGGTCACCTCCATGAGTGCCACATCTACCCCAGTCGATTTCTCCAGCGCCTTCTCCACCACTGGTTCCACCTCCAGCCCTCTCACGTCCACACTGGGGACCTCCACCAATGCCCCAACCTCAACGGCAGAGCCTCCAACCTCCTTCTCCACCTCTGGAACCTCCTCCACTGCTGTCACTTTCACTGAGGTGACCTTCACAACAGCCCCAACCACCTCCATTGATGCTTCCACGAGCTCCTCCACCTCTGGAGCCACCTCTTCTGCTCCCTCCATCACTGAGGACATCTTCACCCCAGCCCCAACCACCTCCACTGGAGCCACCTCAACTGAGGTGAGCTCCATGAGTGCCACCACCACCTCCATTGATGCCTCCACAGGGTTCTCAAGCACTGGAGTCACCTCCAGCGCTGTCACTTCCATAGAGGGCACCTCCTTGACATCTCCAGCCTCAACAGCAGAGCCTCCAACCTCCTTCTCCACCACTGGAGCCACCTCCTCTGCTGTCACCTCCACGCTGGGGACCTCCATGAGTGCCTCAACCACCTCTGTTGACGACTCCACTATGTTCTCAACCACTGGAGCCACCTCAACTGCTCCCATGTCCACAGGGGTTACCTCTACAACTGCCCCAACCCCCTCTGCTGATGCCACCATGAGCTTCTCAACCACTGGAGCCACCTCCTCTGCTGTCACCACCAATGAGTTGACCTCCACCAGTTCCCCAACCACCTCTATTGATGCATCCACCACATTCACCACCATTGGAGCCACCTCCTCGGGTGTCACTTCCATAGAGGAGACCTCCATGACAGCCACAACCACTCCAACAGAGCCTCCTTCCTCCTTCTCCAGTTATGGAACCACCTCCTTTTCTGTCACCTCTGCAGTGGGGTCCTCCACAACAGCTTCAGCCACCTCTATTGATGCCTCCAGCACCTTCTCCATCTCTGGAGCTACCTCCTCTGCTGTCACCTCCAATGTGGTCACCTCCATTAGTGACACAACCACCTCTGTTGATGCCTCCACGATGTTCTTGACCACTGGAGCCACCTCAACTGCTCCCATGTCCACAGGGGTTACCTCTACAACTGCCCCAACCACCTCTGTTGATGCCACCACGAGCTTCTCAACCACTGGAGCCACCTCCTCTGCAGTCACCACCAATGAGCTGACCTCCACCAGTGCCCCAACCACCTCTATTGATGCATCCACCTCATTCACCACCATTGGAACCATCTCCTCGGCTGTCACTTCCATAGAGGAGACCTCCATGACAGCCACAACCACTCCAACAGAGCCTCCTACCTCCTTCTCCAGTTATGGAACTACCTCCTCTTCTGTCACCTCCACACTGGGGACCTCCACAGCAGCTCCAACCACCTCTGTTGATGCCTCCACGTCATTCACCACCGTTGGAGCCACCTCCAGTGCTGCTACCACCAATGAAGTGACCTCCACCAATGCTCCAACCACCTCAGTAGAGTCTTCTACCTCCATCTCCATCCCTGGAACCTCCTCTGCTGTCACCTCCATCCATGTGACCTCCACGGCAGCTCCAACCACCACTCTTGATGCCTCCAGCACCTTCTCCACCTCTGGAGCTAGCTCCACTGGTCCATCCTTCACTGAGGGGACCGCAACGTCTTCTTCCGCCACATCAACTGTTCCCATGTCCATGCTGGTGACCTCTGCAACAGCCACGACCACCTCTATTGGTGCCTTCACGTCCCTGACCACCGCTAGAATCACCTCCACTGGTGTCACCTCAACAGAGGTCCCCTCCACTCTCACCCCCGCCACATCCCTCATCCCTACAGGTGAGTCTCCCCCAGGCACCCCATAAAACCTATCCCCTCAATGGGTGTTGTTCTCCCTCCCCACCTCCCCCCCCATCCATGGGGGTGTCCTTGTGTGCTCCTGACCCCCTCCTTCTTCCTACCAGGCTTCTGTTACAACGGGGGCACCCATGATGGCATCAAGTGTCTCTGCACCCCCATCTTCTATGGACCCTTGTGCGAGTTCTCCACTGAGTCCATTGACACCAACCTCCGTAGGTGCCACCTTCACCCATCCATGGGGCTCTCTGGAGCTCCTGGGGCCCCCATGGTGACCCACATCCCTTGTGTCCTCCAGCATTCCCAGGGACCATCATGGCCCAAGCGGAGCTGAACGTTACCGTCACCAACTTCAACTTCACCAAGGACCTCTTGGACCCCACATCCGAGGCCTATGGGGCCTTTGAAGAGCTATTCCAGAGGGAGGTGAGGATGAGGGGACCGAGAGCCTCCACGGGCCACGTTGTCCCCTCCGTGGTCCTTGATGAGACTCTTTGGTTCTGCAGTCGATGAGGATCTATGGGACCATCTCTGGTTACGAGGGGGTGAGGATTCTGACCCTCAGGTGAGGACCAATGGAGCCCCACGTCGGGGGGGGTCGAAGCTGATCTCATTGTCCCCATCCTGACCCCACTGTGTCCCCAAGTCCCGGCAGCATCGTGGTGACCCACGAGGTCTTCTTCACCCTGGTGGTACCCAAGAACGTGAGCCAGGACATGGAGGACATCACCCAGAGCCTGGTGCAGACCTTGAAGGACGTGGAGGCTGGACAAGGGCTCTGCCAGCACGAGACGGGTGGGTGCCCCTCCATGGACCTCAGTGGGGCCCTCCATGGACCAAGGGGGGGTCTCTGATGTCTCCTGTCCCCACCACAGACATCCTGTGCCTCAAGGTGCCGCCTGACCCTGTCATAAGGAGCATGACAGAGACATCAGACCTGGATGGTGAGACCCTGCTACAACCCCAGCACCAGCCATGGATTCACCAGATCCATGGGCACAATAGCTTCATCCTCACCTCAACATCTTCATCCCATCTCATCCCATATCCGTCTCCATCCCCATCTCCATCCCTTCCCATCTCATCCCATCCATCTGTATCCCATCTCCATCCCCACCCTATCCCCATCCCCAACACATCCCCACCCTATCCCAAACCCCACCCCATCCCCACCCCATCCCATCTCCATCCCCATCCTCATCCCCATCCCTGTCCCCATCCCCTCTCATCCCCACACCATCCCAACCTCTATCCCCATCTCCATCCCATCCCCATCCCATCCTCATCCCATCACCACCCCCATCCCCATCCCTATCCCCATCCCATCTCATCACCACACCATCCCCACCTCCATCCCCATCCCATCCCCATCCCATCGCCACCCCCACCTCCATCCCCATCCTGTCCCCATTCCCATTCCCACCCCCACCTCCATCCCCATCCTATCCCCATTCCCATCCCCATCCCCATCCCCATCCTCACCACATCTCCATCCCCATCCCCATCCCCATCCCCACCCTATCCCCATCCCATCCCATCCCATCCCCATCCCCATCCCCACCTCCACCTCCATCCCATCCCCACCCCCACCTCCATCCCCATCCCCATCCCCACCCCCATCCCCACCTCCATCTCCATCCCCATCCCCACCCCCATCCCCATCCCCATCCCCATCCCCATCCCCATCCCCATCCCATCCCCATCCCCATCCTCATCCCCACCCTATCCCCATCCCATCCCCATCCCCATCCCATCCCCATCCCCATCCTCATCCCCACCCTATCCCCATCCCATCCCATCCCATCCCCATCCCCACCTCCATCTCCATCCCCATCCCCATCTCCATCTCCATCCCCATCCCCATCCCCACCACATCCCATCCCCATCCCCATCCTCATCCCCACCCTATCCCCATCCCCACCTCCATCCCCACCCCATCCCTCTCCCCATCTCTCCGCATGCCCTCCATACCCCTGTGCCCCCCATACCCCTCACCCCCTCCCGTGCCCCCTGTGCCCCCCCTACCCACAGAGCTCTGCCGGATCCGGGCCCCTCCTGGTTACTCTCAGTTCTACTTCACGGACACCGCGGGCGGCCTCATCTCCTGCATCACCGCCTGCACCCCCAACAGACCCACCTCACTGGATTGCCACTACGGGCAGTGCCGTGTCACCCTCCAAGGGCCCTCCTGCTTGTGAGTCATGGACCTGCTACCCCTATGGGTCAACATCCCAATCCCATCATCAGTATGGGTCAACACCCCCATCCCATTGTCCCTATGGGTCAACATCCCCATCCCATTGTCCCTATGGGTCAACATCCCCATCCCATTGTCCCTATGGGTCAACATCCCCATCCCATTGTCCCTATGGGTCAACAATCCCATCCCATCATCAGTATGGGTCAACATCCCCATCCCATTGTCCCTATGGGTCAACATCCCCATCCCATCGTCCCTATGGGTCAACATCCCCATCCCATCGTCCCTATGGGTCAACAATCCCATCCCATCATCAGTATGGGTCAACATCTCCATCCCATCGTCCCTATGGTTCGGCATCCTCCTCCCATACCCACCCGATCCCCATCACGACATCCTTATGGACCCACCATCCCCATCCCATCTCCATCCCCGTGGCCCCACCATCACTATGTTCCCCCCATCTCACCCATGGCCCCACCATCACTATGGTCCCCCCATCTCCCCCATGGCCCCACCATCAGTATGGTCCCCCCATCCCCCCCATGGCCCCACCATCCCCATGGCCCCACCATCCCCATGGCCCCACCATCACTATGGCCCCCCATCCCCCTCATGGACCCATCATCCCCATGGCCCCAGCATCCCTGCCATGGCCCCACATCCCCATGGCCCTACCATCCCCATGGCCCCACCATCCCCATGGCCCCACTATCACTATGCCCCCCCATCCCCCTCATGGACCCACCATCCCCATGGCCCCACCATCACTATGGCCGCCCACCCCCATCATGGCCCCACCAACCCCATGGCCCCAACATCACTATGCCCCCCCATCCCCATCATGGCCCCACCATCCCCATGGCCCCACCATCCCCATGGCCCCACCATCCCCATCATGGCCCCACCATCCCCATGGCCCCACCATCCCCCTCATGGACCCACCAACCCCATGGCCCCACATCCCCATCCCACCCCTATCCCTGTCCTTGGTTGGTGCTTGGTGGCCGTGTCCCCATGGAGGTGAAGGTCTCACACCCATTCCCTGCTGCAGCTGCCAGGATGAAGCCTTCTTCTGGTACTCGGGCCCACAGTGCTCGGGGCGCATCAGCAAAGTGGCCACAGGCCTGGGGCTGGTGGCCACCGTCCTGCTCCTCACCTGCATCGTCCTCGGCATCATCGTGGCCAGGGAACGCCAGAGGAGGAGGATGTTGAGGTGGGATGGGAGGAACCTTCCCCGCTCTGTTTTCCTTGGTGTGGAGATCCCCATCCTCAGTCCAGCATCCCCATCCCAACATCCCCATAGACCCACCAGCCCCATCCCCATGGACCCATCGTCCCCATCCAAACATCCCCATCCCAACATCCTATCCCATCATCCCCACCCCAACATCCCCATAGACCCACCAGCCCCATCCCCATGGACCAATCGTCCCCATCCAAACATCCCCATCCCAACATCCTATCCCATCATCCCCATCCTAACATCCCCATCCCATCCTCATTGTCCCATCATCCCCATCCCAAGATCCCCACCCTAGCATCCCCTTGGACCCACCATCCCATCCCATCATCCCCATCCCACCATGGGCATCCTAACATGCCCATCCCACCCTCACGGACCCACTCTCCCCATCCCATCATCCCCATCCCACCATCTCCATCCCTCCATCCTCCACCCCCATGGAGCCACCATCCTCATCCCCATCCCAACATCCCCACTCCATGAACCCACCATCCCCATCCCACCATCTCCATCCCCATCCCACTATCCCAATCCCACCATCCCCATGGACCCACCATCCCCATCCCACTATCCCCATCTCATCATCCTCATCTCAACATCCCACCCCATCCTCATGGATCCACTAGCCCCATCCCACTATCCCCATCCCACTATCCCCATCCCATCATCCCCATCCAAACATCCCCATCCCACCATCCCCATGGACCCACCATCCCCATCCCACTATCCCCATCCCACCATCCCCATGGACCCACCAGCCCCATCGCATCACCCCCATCCCAACATCCCATCCCCATGGACCCACCATTCCCATCCCACTATCCCCATCCCATCATCCCCATCCCACCCCCATGGACCCACCATCCCCATCGCACTATCCCCATCCCATCATCCTCATCCCAACATCCCATCCCACCAACATGGACCCACCATCCTCATCCCACTATCCCCATCCCATCATCCCCATCCAAACATCCCCATCCCACCATCCCCATGGACCCACCATCCCCATCCCATGATCCCCATCCCACCATCCCCATCCCACCATCCTCATCTCACCATCTCCATCCCCATCCAAACATCCCCATCCCACCATCCCCATGGACCCACCATCCCCATCCCACTATCCCCATCCCACCATCCCCATCCCACCATCCCCATGGACCCACCAGCACCATCGCATCATCCCCATCCCATCATCCCATCCCATCCCCATGGACCCACCATCCCCATCCCACTATCCCCATCCCATCATCCTCATCCAAACATCCCATCCCACCCCCATGGACCCACAATCCCACCGCACCACCATCCCCATCCCACTATCCCAATCTCATCATCCTCATTTCAACATCCCATCCCACCCCCATGGACCCACCATCCCCATCCCACCATCCCCATCCCATCATCCCCATCCCAACATCCCATACCATCCCCATGGACCCACCATCCCACCCCACCACTATCCCCATCCCACCATCCCCATCCCACTATCCCCATCCCATCATCCCCATCTCAACATCCCATCCCACCCCCATGGACTCACCATCCCCATCCCACTATCCCCATCTCATCATCCTCATCTCAACATCCCATCCCCATGGATCCACCAGCCCCATCCCACTATCCCCATCCCACCATCCCCATCCCACCGTCTCCATCCCCATCCCACTATCCCCATCCCACCATCCCCATCCCACCGTCTCCATCCCCATCCAAACATCCCCATCCCACCATCCCCATGGACCCACCATCCCCATCCCACTATCCCCATCCCACCATCCCCATGGACCCACCATCCCCATCCCATCATCCCCATCCCAACATCCCATTCCACCCCCATGGACCCACCATCCCCATCCAACTATCCCCATCCCACCATCCCCATCCCAACATCCCATCCCCCCCCCATGGACCCACCATCCCCATCCAACTATCCCCATCCCACCATCCCCATCCCAACATCCCATCCCCCCCCCATGGACCCACCATCCCACCCCACCACTATCCCCATCCCACCATCCCCATCCCATCATCCCCATCCCAACATCCCATCCCACCCCCATGGACCCACCATCCCACCCCACCACCATCCCCATCCCAGCTCCTCTGAGCCCCCTTCCCGTTGTCCCCCCAGTGACCATCAATCTTCCGTCGCTGGCTCCTGGTACGAGGAGGACTCCCTCTCCTGGCGCTCGCCTGATGGCTTCCTCTACAGCGACGTGGGAACGGGGGGCACCATCAGGGACCCCAGCACCAGGTCCTGGGGGCGGCCCAGCCCACCCCAGCCCCACCGTGGAGGTGGCGAGAGTCAACGCAGCTTCACGCCTGCACTGGAGATGGTGGACACGTCCGTTCCGGTGCGTCCTCCTCCAGCACCATCCCACCGCCATGGGGACCACCCCAAGCCCTTCTCACCCCCTTCCTTCCTTCTCCCCTTGCAGATGAAGATCTCCAGGCCACAGGTTGCCACCAAGCTTTGACCCAGGATGAAGGCCTCAAGCAACGGGGTCTTCTAAGGGGAGACCCAAATCTGGGCTGCCAGCGCGCGGGACATGCTGGAAGATGGATGAGACGGGGTTGGATGACCCACTGTTGGGTTGGACAACTCAATATTGGGTTGGAGAACTCAATATCGGGTTGGGGAGCCCAATATCGGGTTGAACAACTCAACATGGGGCTGGAGAACTCAACATGGGATTGGACAACTCAATATGGGGTTGGAGAACCCAACAAGGGGTTAGAGAACCCAAACTGGGCTTGGAGAACCCAAATTGGGCTTGGAGAACCCAACAAGGGGTTAGAGAACCCAAACTGGGCTTGGAGAACCCAATAAGCCGTTGGAGAACCCAACATGGGCGTGGAGAACCCAGCGTTGGGTTGGAGACCTTTCATGCTCCCTATTTATTGGGATGATGAAGCTTGGGGAGGTCCAGCGAGGATGATGCCCCATCAAAGGGGATGAAGGACTCCTCAAGGGGTGCTGGCCACCACCGAGGACCTTTCCCTGCTCCGCTTTGATGTGTTGGAATAAAGGTTCCATTTCTACCACTGCGGATGCTCTCCTTCCTGGTGGGACACAGGGGAGGGGTGGCCCTGGGTGCTCTATCTGGGTGAGGTGATGACGTGTCCGTCAGGTGACTCAGCCCCAGAGGTGACTACACCCTAAGGTGGGGCCGGGAGGGGACCTCGCCTGAATCTTATCAGGGTGAGGCCACCACCGGGTCCCTCCCTGGTCTATGGGGCAAGGGTTGGACGTGGTGGGTCACCATGGGGACACCATGGGGCTGCTGTCTATGGGCTTGGCTGGAGATTACTCATGGGGCTGTTGACCTTGTGGTTGGTGACCACATCGCTCCGGGGCACAAAGCCACCATCTCGGGCCCTGCAGCTCAGTTGCTCCTTTAGCCCCTGGTGATGGTGAGGATGGAGCTTGGTGGCTTCATCCTCCTCCTCCTCCTCTTCACCCCCGTGGAGGCGCAGTCAGGTAAGGGTTGGGGGGGGGTCGGAGCCTTTGGATCCATTGGGGGCTCTTTGGACATCAACTGTCCCAGCCTGGTATCCCCAGGGGTCCCCTTCCCTTCTCTAGGGGTGAGGAAGTTCTGTTGTCTCCAACAAGGGTTTGGGGTGGTTGTGGGACACCGCAGCTCCTTCCTCATGCCCATCCCATCCCACCCCACCCGCTCCCATCCCATCCCATCCCATCCCATTCCATCCCATCCCCAGGTCTTCTGGGGGATTCAGGTGGTGCTGACCCATCACATGTGGGGTGGGGGTAGAACCTGCTCTCCCAGGTCTTTCCCCCACCTCACTGTCCCCATCCCACCCCCTTCTTACCATCCCCTTCCCTTCCCCATCCCACCATCCCCATCCACATCGCCATCCCATCCCACCATCCCTTTCCCACCTTCCCCATCGCACCACTCCCATCCCACCAACCCCATACTACAACCGCTTCCCACCATCCCCTTCCCATTCTCATCCCATCCCACCATCCCCAACCATCCCCATCCCATCCCTATCCCAACATCCCCATACTAAATCCCTTCCCACCATCCCCAACCATCCCCATCCCATCCCTATCCCAACATCCCCATCCCACCATCCCCTTCCCACCATCACCATCCCCTTCCCATCCCCATCTTCATCCCACAATCCCCTTTCCATCATCCTCATACCACCATCTCCTTCCCACCATCCCCATCCCCATCCCACCATCCTAACATCCCACCATCCCCTTCCCATCTCACCATCCCCATCCCACCATCCCCATCCCACCATCCCTATCCTACCATCCCTATCCCATATCCCCTTCCCACCATTCTCATCCCATCCCCTTCCCCATCCCTATACCACAATCCCCTTTCCATCATCCCCTTCCCACCATCCCACCATCCCCATCCCACCATCCCCTCCCTATCCCCTTCCCATTATCCCCATCCCATCCCCTTCCCACCATCCCCATGCCCATCCCCATCCCACCATCCCCATCCCACTATCCCCTCCCTATCTCCTTCCCACCATCCCCATGTCCATCCCCATCCCACCATCCCCATCCCATCCCACCATCCCCTTCCCATTATCCCCATCCCATCCCACCATCCCCTTCCCATTATCCCCATCCCCATCCCACCATCCCCATTCCACCATCCCCATCCCACTATCCCCTCCCTATCCCCTTCCCACCATCCCCATGTCCATCCCCATCCCACCATCCCCATCCCACCACCCCCATCCCATCCCACCATCCCCTTCCCATTATCCCCATCCCATCCCACCATCCCCTTCCCATTATCCCCATCCCCACCCCACTATCCCCATCCCACCATCCCCATCCCATCCCACCATCCCCTTCCCATTATCCCCATCCCATCCTACCATCCCCTTCCCATTATCCCCATCCCCACCCCACCATCCCCTTCCCACCATTCCCTTTCCATCCCCATCCCACCACCCCGATCCCACCCCCTGCCCCACGCCCCCATAACCCGCGCTGTCCCCAGCTCCCTGTGACAACGGTGGCACCCTGGTGGGACCCGTCTGCCTGTGTCCTCCTGGCTACAACGGGACCCACTGCGAGCACTGGGACCCCTCCCGGGCCTGTCACAACGGCGGCACCGCTGTGGGCACCCAGTGCTATTGTCCCCCGGGCTTTGGGGGTCCCCTCTGCCAGCACCCCAATGCCACCAGCGCCTGCAGGAACGGGGCCACCGCCTTCGGCACCTCCTGCCTCTGCCCCCCAGGGTACTGGGGAGATGTTTGCCAGCACCAGCACCAGGTCAGCTCCTGCCTCAA